TGCTGAAACCTGAGCCTGTAACTTGCGTACCTAGCTGTCTAAGCTGGCTGATAGCACAAACCACCCCCCACCCTCCACTACTGACTGTTGCACAGAAGGACCTGTTTGTGTTTCTCTGTTCTCTCCCTGTTGGAAAGCAACTCCCCGCTGATTAGGATTCAGTTGAATGGCGCAGTAAGCTCACTAGAGCATTGCCTGACATTTCAGTATTTTGAAGATTTAAATTTCGCTTTTTTTTAAAACTCATTCCCACATTTCACTCCACTTGCCTGATGAAGTTGCATCCTTTCTAAATGCTTTGAGTCTGCCACTGCACGTCTTTTGTACAGAGCCCAAGCAGTCAAGTGGAAATCTGTGTGGACAGACACTTTGGCCTATGGGTGAAGGAATAGAGCATCATTGCCACCCTTGTCCTGGTTTTACCTTGTGTTCACATGTACATTTATCACTGAATGATAATCAGGTGGACCCCTACCTTATTGTTCCCTTTTGTAAATTATGATAGCTGTTGCTGTTTGCAGCAACTCCTTCCACATTCATAGAATCCCTACAGTGTGGAAACAGGCCATTCGGCCCAACAAGTGTACACCACCACTCCAAAGAACATCCCACCCAGACCCATTCCCCTACCTTTCCCATATCTAACCCACCTAACCAAATTAAGCATGACCAATCCACCTACCCTGCATATCTTTGGACTGTGGGAGGAAACCGGAACACTCTGAGGAAACCCACACAGACACGGGGAGAATGTGCAAACTCCGTATAGACAGTCACCTGAGGATGGAGTCGAACCCAGGTCCCTGGTGCTGTGAGGCAGCTGTGCCAACCACTGAGCCACCATACCGCCCTATTCGTAGTTGGAGTTAACTAACTCAGCACAGATTGTTTGGGAACTTCCTTAACTGCCTGACAAAGGTTTATTCAATGAATACCTTACTAAGTTGCCATAGTCCTGTCGGACTGTAGGGCTGCTATCCCATTTAGAGGGTAATGGGTGCTGTTGGTTTAATCTGAGGGTCTCCACGCCTTGGGCAAAAGGAGAGGTTGAAAAGGAAACAGTCCTTCATGGTAATTTCAGCTGGTACAGAAGTAAACCTATTGAACCATTAGAAGAGCAATTAATCTCCCTGTTCTTCATGTGATTCTTCTGTTAGAACCTCAGTAGGAACTGGTTCTTCTTTTCAAAAAAGTATATAGGTAATTAGAAAGCCCAGTTATTGAATAAATTAATGAAGCCACAAGATTCTGCTGTTTTAAACAGATTTTGCTCCTATAAAGGAGCCAACAAAGCCAACACTAAATGCTTCCTTATTCTATACTGTAACATGATGTAAACATGACCACAATTTGCCTCATAATTCGGAATTAAACTATAAATTCCATATTAAATGGTAGACTGGAGTAAGACAGGCCTTGAGAATCAGTGATCACAGAGGCACAAAAGTCTTTCAAATTCTATCTTCACGATAAATTTCAGATCTTCTCTTATTAGAACCTAGTCTATGCAGCGCACAACGAACCCAAGTTCCATGGGCATGGTATTCACCACAAATTCCACATGTCTGTAGAATTTTGTCAAATTGGTCTAGATAAGGTAGACCCACTGATGTTATCTTCAATAACAGATAGAATTGTAGGAAGTTGTTGTTGATTTCTGGTCTAGACCCTTCTTCAGTCTTCCCTGTTCTGCACCACAGTACTCATCCACTATAGGAGTTGGCTAGCTCAGGCTGGTCAACTGGTTTGCAGCGCAGACTGATGCCAACAGCATGGGTTCAATTCCCACACGAGCTGAGGCTACCACAAAGGACTGCACCCATGCCATTAGCATTGTGGAAGCTCCAGTGTATTAATTAGATTACTTTAGATTAGGAAAACAAATTAAAACAATCATGCAGTTAGAAGATTTCTTTATAGCGAAGATGCATGAGCAAACAGCTTCCATACCTCAACACACTTCCATATCTCATTTGTTCCACACCTCATTTGTCCACTTTCAGCTTTAGTGTCGTTTTGCATCCAGAACAAGATATTAAAGGGGGCGGCGGGTTGTGGGAGTGGTGGTACTGAGTGGCTGAATCCAGTTCATCTTTGGTCGTGGGACTCTGTTAGTACAGTAACGGGTGTTGAATACATTGAGTATAATCATATCAAATGCTGTGTTGTTGCTAGGTGTCCCCAGTCTGGTTTGTGCTAGTTTGTATGGTAAGCTGCTGATGTGCAGGAAAATAGCTTGCACCTCCAGGTATTTCTCCAGTTTTGTATGTCACTTGCGTTCATCACTTGTTTAACTGACAGACAATCTGATGTACTTGGATTGCATGTTTGTTGTAAGCGACTTTATAATGCACTACAACATTTCCTTACTCATCCTATACCCGATCAAGAACTGATGAGTATGGAAGTTACTGGGCACTGTGGATAATATATTGGATTCTTATGTGGAAATTGTCCTATCATTAATTCAAATCCATTGGATGAAAAATTAATCAAGAATAGAAGGGCTAAAATTTGGGAACCATTTTTACCAAAAGGAATTTCTGACAACTTGCAAACTCGGACCTTCGCTTTCACTGAATTTTTTTTTATATTAAATCATTCGCAGTTACCAACATTTAGAGGAAAGCTTTTTAAATGTTCGTTATGTATTCTGAGGTGTGTAATACGTTTCCACATGCCTGTGCCAGGATGCACTAAGATTCAGGGATAGCTCGATCTCCTGTTCAAGCACTGTTATCTGGATGTGGAAATCAGACCTTTTTGTAACATTCTTCACTTGAACTGGCCAGCTACCGTAATTTTGCTACTGTGACCATAGGGCATCCAACAGTTGTTGAATTTGACAAATAACATACATTGTGCAGGTCTGTTTGTAATGGGTTGACATCTGCACTAGTAGTTTAATGCACACAAATTCAAAACACACTAAAATAATTTGAGATTTTGAGTTCTTTTTATAACATTCCGGCATCAGTAAAAGTAATCATGAAGCTCTCTGAAATTTAGTGAATCAATTAAATGTCCTTAAAAAAGGAAATCTACCAAGCTGACCAGATCTGGTCTGTACAAGACTGCAGCCCCATGTCAACATGCTTGATTTTTAAAACGCTTTCTATCAGTTTGGGTTAGGAAATAAATATTGGCCTTAGAGTTTCTTTTAGTTGGCATGGTGTGGCAGTCTCTCGGCCTGACATGGCCTCCTGGTCTTGAGGCGATACCAGAGCGACCTCCCAACCTCATGACCCTCGAGGTGAAGCCTGGCATAGTCAGGAGCCAAGGCCCAGTGCGGACTGGCGGCTAGGTACCAGCATGGTCTCGATTGGAAGACCGCTGTTCTGAATTTTTATGTCTGCAATGCTGGACATTTTTATTTCTCTATTTTCCAAGATCTTGTAACTGAAGAAGTTGCACCTCGGGATCTTTTTGTACCTAAGAAGGCACTGTAAGTGGCAACTTATAAACTTTTCACCGTACTCGTTCGAGTACATGTGAGAATAAAGCTAATTCAATTCAGTTCAGTCATGTATGTGATGTGGGTGCCACCTTTATTGCCTTTCCCTAATTGCCCTAGAATCGATAGGTTGCCTCAGCCATTTCAGAAGGCAGTTAACCTTGTGTGTCCGACGTCTTGCGTGGGTCAGATGTTTAGTGGTGGTTATATGGTAACCATTAGACTAGCATTTTTTTTGTTGAATTCAAACTTCACCATCTACCATGAAGAGATGCAAACCCCTGGCCCCAGGATGTTTCCCTGGGGCTCTGAGTTCCCAGTCCAGTGACATTGCCACGATGTCACTGCCTACCCTGAAACTGAATTGACACGCATCTGCAGAATGTAAAAAGACACATGTAGATATTAACTTTAGGCCACATCTCTTTTATCAGTCATTGTTTTAGTTTGAAATCTATGTTGAGGGCTGTGGCTAATGTTTGCCCTAAGCTGTGTGGCCATGCAACAATGTGAAGCTTCATGACAAGCTGGACACAAGTCAACTCCTTTTAAAGTATCATTTCAGTGTGGCTGTGCAAACCATATAGAGGCCTCGCACTCTGAATTTAACCACACGCAGAAGAATTGCAAAGGGCTTGTATTAGCTGAGGTCAATTGTTCAGAAGCCTACCATAAAGGGTGAAAACCGTGTAAAAGCAAGAAATTTAATGTGGTATGGGTTAAAGGATGACGTGTTTGATTTTATAATTTTGGTACATTATAGGAGGAAGGAAAAATGCAAAGAGATGTCACTTTTAAGTGCCGTGGAAAGCCTTGTCTTGTAATATGAGATGATCTGTGAATCTTGTTTTTACGAAAGCAGCCAAAGGAGCTGAAGTGCATGCAGTTTGCTGCTTGGACACAAGTGGTAATTTAAGCAGAAAAGCATCATCTACTGAGGTAGCTTTTCTCTGAAACAATATTGTCTGGTTTTCTTCGAAGTGAGATGAATGCAAAGTAGAAAAACTTAGTGCCACATCTTTGACTAGATCATTGCACAGAAACACCAAACAGTTGCTTGTTGAGAATCAGAACCAGTATCAGAATTGGATATGCCAACATGTTATAGGCTCAGAACAATTACTGCCCTGTTAAGTTGCTGCTAATTCGTGAATGGCAGTTTCACAAATGATCTGTTCCCAGTGTTTGTTTTCTACAATTAATCTTATCCCTACTGCCCTGTCTTTGCCTTATTTTCTGTAAATTTGGTCCTATTTTCTCTCCTCCAGGATTGACTATTATCTGAAGAAGGGCCACTGGACATGAAACTTTGACTCTGTTTTCTCTGTCTACAGATGCTGCCAGACTTGAGTTTCTCCAACTATTCATGTTTTTGTTTCAGATATCCAACATCTGCAGTTCTTTCTTTTTTCATCCCTATTTTGGTCCCTCAGTCTTTCAGCCAGCTGGAGTAAACTAGAAAAGCTCAAGCATTGATTAATGCAATGAAACATTATTTTAAAAATCACGCCAGTTGTATTCTGTATGCTTTTTTTTCTCTTTGCAGCTCACAACTGCTGTGAGACGGTGAAAGTTGTGCTGTGTGCCTCCAAGAAAGGATTTCCCATTTCTGTGCTGGCAGAAGAGAATTTCCAATATGTCCAGGACACTGTGTATGACATGGCACAGTTCTTGGTGAGCAGTGCTGGATCTCAAGAAGCACTCAACGCTATTAGGATAATGGATAACTTTCGCGAATCCTCCGACAATGTGGCATTACTGGATAAAAATCTGACTTTGGAGGTGCAACATCTGCTGCTACCAGCCACGTGGAATGTGCTGGGTCCAGATCCCACGTTGCCAGGTAGGGATTGCGTGCTGTTCATAAACTGATTCATTGTCCCATCAGCTCAACATGGGGACATTTGTAAAAAACTGTTTAGCACCTCTACCCTGTTTCAATGTTCAGAAAACTCGATGATTCTTTGTAACTTTCCTGCATCCACCTGCCTTAATTTCATATCCCTTTATTTCATTAAAGCAAATATCTATAGAGCTTCAATTTAAAATGAAGTGACCCAACATCTGTTGCTTTCGGCGATAAAAATCCTTACACTTTTTGTCACTTGTGTGAAGACATGTTGCTTCATAGCACCAGGAACCCAGGTTCAATTCCAGCCTTAGGTGCCCCTCTGTGTGGAGTTTGCACGTTCTCCCTGTGTCTGCATGGTTTTCCTCCTACAACCCAAAGTTGTGCAGGTTAGGTAGATTGACCATGCTAAATTGCCCTCATGTGTCCAGGGATGTGCGGGCCAGGTGGATCAGCCATGGGAAATGTGGGGTTATAGGGATCAGGTGGTAGGCTGGGTCTGGGTCTGAGTGGGATGCTCTCTGGAGGGTCAGTGTGGATTTGATGAGCCGAATGGCCTTTTTCCGCACTGTAGGGATTGATTCTATGATTCTATGGTCTCTTTTGAATGGTCTAGCTATAATGGCTCCCAACTAGCATCCCAACTAATTTCTTTTCTGGAGTGCACAGAACTTTAATTTTAAATGCATGGTCCCTTTAAATTTGGTGTAGCCATGCATGGATGGTCACTTAAAGGGACCGACTTGTAGTTGAGCCACGAGAGAACTTTGTAACTGTCGAACAGTTTAGGGGGAAGACTCCTGATGACTCTTACTGTTTGCTGCAACCTTGTGGCTTTACTGTTCCAGACAGGAGGGTGAAGTAATCCAATTGAAAGGTTTGTCTCCCACATCTGGTACTACAGCCTATCATGTGCCCAGATGGATCAAGAGATTTATAATGTAGACAGCAGGAAATAAATATGAAGATTGAATTACAATCGTCTTTGAAGTTTCTAAATTCAGCAAAATCTATATTTTGATTGCATTTGAAGGACTTTATGTTTATTGGTGCCAGTAGAGTATTGGAAAAAGCTTGTGTGTTTCATTGCTGTTAATTCATCCACTCATTGTTCCTGTGCCATTTACAACAATAATAAATCTACCCCAGCGCGACCCAGCACAAAATCTTCTCTTGACACCAAACCCAAGTTCAAAAAGACAAAGACTCTCTATCCCTCTGCACTAATACTAACTAATTTGTGAATGTGATTTTCAATGTGTTGGCAGATCTGTTTTTTGCTACCCTGGGAAAACATCAAGGTGAATCTGTTGTAGATTTTTTTTTTCAGGTTGCTTGAGACTTGTGATCATCTGGACTCTCACGATACAGGTCTCGGGGCAACCAAAAAAATAAAGTTGGTGTAACTACTAACGTCAGTTACCAAGAAGACAGTTTTACAGGGAGAGGTTCTGCTGGTCTTTGACTCTGTTCCTTTACATTCGGGGTCCCATCAACTCATTGTGGGGTGGCACCATTTAACAGGATGCTTAATCCAGTGTGAAGCAGCTTTTGATTATTGTCTTCACCACTTTTTCACAGTGTGTGATTTTTCTTTTAACCTGTCACCGTTGCGCTTTCCTGAAAGGTTGCTCAGTGTTTAATGAAATTGGAGGGACATGAGTGAAGTGACCCCTTACTGAAGGTTCGAGGAAGTTATTAACTCTAGGCACATTTAATCAAAAAAATCCTTGTTTCCAGCCAGTCACGGTCTTGTAGATAGACACCAGCAGGCTGTCTCAATCTCTGTGTAAACTGCAGTTCTTTTGAAGCGAGAATTTTATGTGCGAGTCAACAGACCGTGTGTGTTTGAGATGAATAACTGTTCAATTCTGAATATTTTCCAGCTACAATAGTTCTCTCTCTCTGAATGATTATTCATCTTTTGAGCAGTTTCAGGCGGGTGAATTAAAGGTCACCATGCTAATGGGATTGTTGGCTTGCACTTTACTGGTGTTTACCTCTGGTACCAGTTTCCCCACCGTACAGCTGCCTGGAGAGTCTGACGTTTTAAAAACCAAGGATTGCCTAGATTTATTTTTTGTTTTAAGTTTCTGTGAATGTTCAGGATTGTTTAATCTATCTGCCAAATTGGTTTCATCTGGATTATAAAAGAGAAAGTAAAATTTCTGCATGACAGAACAGGTCCGAGGAGCTTGGTGAATGGCTCCTGTTCCTACATCGCAGAACCTCCAATAATACTTTGCAGTTTCAACTAAAGTCACTAATTAGACAGAAATAAAATCATAAAATTGAATTGCTTTCTGTTCAGAGGTTTCTCTGTTCACCAGTTTTTTAATTTGTTGCCTAGGATTCTTTGTTGAAAATAATTCCCATTAAAATGACAGCACTGTGAATTGTAAGTTTCAAGTGTAGTAGGCACAGGTCATTGATGTTTGTGAGCTGGCTGACTATTTTTTATCAAAAACAAATCTCGTGCGCAGTTGTGAAGTGTTGAGTTTAGGTTATGTAGTTGAGTATGAAATGGCCTAGCTCCAGTTATCTAATAATGGGACATGCATGTTGGAGTGAGCTGATTAAGAAGGTTGGTAAAGAAAGTCTGATGGGGGAATCACTGCCTGCATTAAAGGACTGGCTCGGTAAGAGTTGCTGTGGTGTGCTTCAAGGTAAGATCACATCACACATCAATGAGATTGATGACGCTATGGGATCATTTGGGATTCAGGGTGAGCTTGCCAATTGGATACAAAATTGGCTCAATGGCAGGAGATAGAGCAATGGTGGAGGGTTGTTTTTTGGACTGGGGGCCTGGGACCAACAGTGTTCCATGGAGATCAGTGCTGGGTCTACATTTGTTTGTCATTTGTATAAATGATTTAGATGAGGATATAGAAAGCACGGTTAACAAGTTTATGGTTCCACAGTAGACAGTGAAGATTATCTAAGGTTACAAAACGATCTTGATCATTTGTGTCAATGGACTGAGGAGTGCCAGATGGAGTTTAATTTGGATAAATGCAATGTATTGCATTTTGGTAAAACAAACAGGAAAGACTTATACAATTAAAAATAGGGCCTTGGGTAGTATTGTAGAACCTAGAGACTTAGGGGTTCAGGTACATAATTCTTTGAAGTTTGTATCACGTGTAGATAAGGTGGCTAAGAAGGCATGTAGCATGCTTGCCTTCATTGCTCAGACCTTTTGAGTATAGGAGTTGGGGCATTATATTCAGGTTGTATGGAACTTTGGTGAGGCCTCTTCTGGAGTACTGTATTTAGTTCTTGTCTCTAGAATGATCTGTTAAAGGATATTACTAAACCAGAGAGCATTCAGAAGAGATTTACCAGGATGTTGCCAGTAATGGAGGGTTTAAGTTGTAAGGAGAGGCTGGATAGGCTGGGATTTCTTTCACTGGATTGTAGGAGCTTGAAGGGTGATGTTATAGAGGTTTATAAAGTCATGAGGGGTATAGATAAGGTGAACAGCAGGTGTCTTTTTCCTAGGGTGGGAGATTTCAAGACCAGGGGCATATTTTTAAGGTGAGAGGAGAAAGATTTAAAAATGACATGGTGGGCAGTTTTCTTTTACACAGTGGTTTGTGATTAGAATGAACTTCCGGAGGAAGCTGTAGATGCTGGTACAGTTACAGCATTTAAAAGACAATTAGATAAGTACACGAATGAAAAATGTTTGGAGGGATCTGGGCCAAGCATAGGCAGATGGGACCGGTTTAGTTTGGGATTATGGTCGGCGTGGACTGGTTGGACCGAAGGGTCTGTTTCCGTGTTGTATGACTCTATGACTGCCAACATCTCTTTGCTGATTCTGGTTGAGGTGCGAGACTGTTGATCAGACAATTCGGAGAACGTCTTATCCTTCAACTGCAGTCCTTTATTTCCTCCTCAACAGGGTGATGGGGACTCTGTTTGATATCTTACTTCTCTGAAAGCATCTTTGCCTTAGAATTTTATGTGAGTGTCAACCTGAATTATGTGTTCATAGATGTGAATGGAGCTGAAACTGCTTTGTTTATCTACGGGAAAAACACTCTCTCGACTGAGCGAGACATAACAGCCATTTGCATTTCAGGATACTGCCTAGGAGCGCTATCAAATAATGTTTGACACTAAGCCCCGCAAGGAGGTACTGGGGCAGGAGACTGAAAACCTATTCAGAGTGCATTTTAAAAAGAAGATGGAGAGGTTTAGAGAAGATTTTCCAGAACAACTGAAGGTTTAGCCAGCAGTGGTGAAACAATTAAAATCAGACGTATGAGAGCCCAGAGTTGGAGGTGCACAGAGAGCTCTTTGTACAGCCTGACGAGGTTACGGAGGTAGAATGGCGTCAGAAGCAGTCACTCGCTAACGAGAAAATTCCGTGTTACTGATCCTGGATTCCGTGGATCCTAGTGTGGCTGATGTGCCTGATCCTAGAACCACGTCTGTGACTTCACATTTTGTGGGTGTCTCCAGGAGGTAGGTAGGAGCGATGTGCTGGAGGGATCTGAAAACTTGAATGATTCTGTTAAAATTGAGGCATTGTCAGACTGGGAGCCAGCATAGGTCAATGAGTACAAGGCTTATAGTTGATCGGTACTTGGTACAAATTGAGATACAGGCAGTTTGATGAATTCAAGTCAATGGAAGGTGGGTGATTGGCCATGAGAGTATTGGAATAAGCAACATTTGTTTAGTAATAGTTTTCAAGTGACTCATTTTGATTTTGATAAGGAAAAATTGATTTTGCTACAAAGAAGTTAAGATTAATGGTCGGTTACTTGATTTCAATAGTGCTGCTTTTGTTCTCTGCACATCAAAACAAAAATCTTTGTGCTCCTTGGGTTAATGTTTATGCATCAGAATATATTCTTTTACAAGGTTAACAGCAACATTTTTGTCTCCATTGGTAACAAGTTACAAAAGTTTAGTTTACCCGTGTGTGTGTGTGTGAGAGAATCAGCTGTTAAAGACCGTCCTGCTTTTTTCTACATATG